TTATAGTGCAGATTGCTGCAGACATTGCATTGCCTTGGTGCTCTGCTCAGTGCAGTAATTCCTCACTGAATATTACTGACATCCTACTATCAAAATAGCTGTTCAGACAGAGAAAGCAAGAATTTCTGGTCAGTTCGTACGTACAGGCAGAGGTAGTCAAGGTAGGGAACAATCCTGAGTATAATATAAGCCAAATGTGTAAATAGCAAGGCTTTAAGACTGAAATTCACTTTTATTAAACTGTAATTATTTAACCTAAAATGCTGCCTAGAATTTCAAACATCCAAAAGCTTGATATTATGAAGTCAGTGCGATGAACCTGAAGATTTGGTTTGTTTTTTTTTCTAGTAGAGAGCAATGTATGCAAGCAGTTTTCATACAGCAGCGCAGAAGCAATAGGAACTTATTTGTGTAGCCGTTGTCACCACCCCTACCCTGCAGAAATGCAACGATCTTTCGGATGATGACTATGTAATTGCTTCCACATGCCCCAGAGGGAAGTTTCGTTCTGCAGTCCTATGTACTGTAAGCTTTCCCACCCTTTCCCCCAGGTGCATGAGCTCATAAGTCTTGCAAACAAGACAAAGTGGGAGATGTCCCCATAATCTGAAGCGCAGGAGTCACTAAGTGGAAAATTCAGTTCCTGTTCTACTCTCTATGCGGAGAAGTCAGTGCTTGGTGGGCAGGTACTTCAACCTCACACTCTGGCCACTTCCAAATGGTGTTACACTAGCTCCCCAAGATGGAGGGAGAGGACTGAGCAGAAAGTCTACCCTCTGCTGCAGTTTTTTTCCCATTATCTCTGTGGCCCCTGCTCCCCTTCCCCTGCTTTCTACCTTTCTGATCTGGCCTTTGTGAGTTTGCTGGACATATTTCCTGCAGAGCAGGGATGGTTTCTCTGCCTTTCTAAAAATGTTCTGTTCTTTGTGCTGGTGAATAAACATAAGAACAGAGCTTGTCTCATGATGTATTTTTTTTGTGTGTGTTAGGAGGGAAACAAAGGAAGGAAATACTAAATTTGAATTACAAGCTTATATAAATTATGTTTCAGAAAGTACACCGGATGCAAGTTAACGCATTAAATAAAACAGAGGTTGTAAGGGAAATGTCAAGAAGCCTTAACAGGCAGGTGCTTCTGCTAAGGTTGTGTGCTGTTTCTCACTGTAAGGGTTAGTTTCCAGTTGCTTACAACTTTGCCAAATTTTCTTTCCGTTCGTGAGGTCTCACCTGAGTTGTTGGTTTGAAGTTTGTCCAAAACAGCTGAGTTGTTCCAGTTGTTCCCAAAAAGCCAGGGAATAAATCCACTGTGCTTTTCAAGCATTGAAACAGCCTTTTTTTGAGAAGCTCAAGTGTCTCCATCCTTTAGTCAAGGACTCAGCCTTGACACGTAGAAGGATGATGGCCTTTGTGTCAAGGAAATAGCTTGAGAATCGGCTGCCTCAATGCCAGGTCACAGATGCTCAGTAGCTACTTGAGTTTGTTGTCTAAAGTGTCCCGCTTCATCCTGGGGCTGAGCAGGGGCTTCTTCTGAGTTGCAGAATGAGCTGCCCTAGAGCCTGGCCCTCTACCAGGGCTGGGAGCAGGAAGACTGTCTTGTGGGATGCAAGTGCCGCCTGTTGACCGGCAGGCAGTGTAGGCAAGCTGCCTGACTCAACCGGCAGGACCACAGCCAAGGGAAGTGTCCACCCAAGGGGAGATACTGAAAGATTGAGTGGGACAGAAGGTAAGGGAGACCCAGGCTGGGAGGATGATGGGTCTGTGGTATCAGGAAGGGGTGGAGTGAAAACTGATTTGGTCATTTCTCCTGACAGTATAAAATTTAAAAAAAATAAAAAGTGACAAGAGTTTTTCGTCTGTTCTTGGGACAAGGCAGCAAGGGATGAGAATGGTTGAAGCCATGAATGATAAAGGCAAACGCAGGTAGTGGTGACAAATTTGTTGGAGAGTGATACTGAGGCGTGAGAAGACCTGGGCTAAGTTGATGAGTACAACACAACTGGAGCAAGGCAGGGGGTAAATTTTGACGAACAGCATGGGCTGTGTCCATCAAAGCACGCTTCTGCTGAGACACAGAGCAGAAGCCAAAAATACTCCCAAGGATGGGGGTGGGAGGGCAGAATGAGGAAATTGGTAGTTGGATATAATGTAATAAATATGGCTGGGGGAAAGAGGGACAGCTGGCACTCACAGTTAAATCAGGAGCCAAAGAAAAATTAAATACCTGCTTGTTACCAGACCACCATTCATCCTATGTGCTAAAAGAGAAGGGGGGTCCTGCAAACTAACTTGTAACTGTGTATGCAGGTGTGTGTGGCAGCCAAGAGAGGTCAGTAGGGCAAGGGTGCACTGGCGAACAGACCTGTTTCCAATATCTACTTCTCTTGAATGCATGACTTTGTTGTCCTCCTAATGTTCTCAACTTTGTTGTACACAATGTCTTAGTTTGGTTTGTTGCTTCCTGCCTACAACTTTCTGAAGCTTGATCCCAGACTTGATAGCCAGCCCTTTGCAACATGACACTGTTGTCAAGATAACCAATATTTTTCCTGCTGTGATCAGTTGGGAACAGAGCAGTTGTGTTTTTGGTGGGGTGTTTTTTTTTTTTTTTTTAAGTAATCTGTGTTAACAGAGTGTCAATGGTTTGAAGTCAGGTGCTCAAGGCTTTGCCACTGAGTCTCTTCTAGGCAGCAGTGGGGAATCCTGCAGTTTATGTCTGAGCCTGGAGGGGGCTCACATTCTGAATCATGCAACCATGCAGCATATTTGATCCAGGGGAAGAAGAAGGCTGGTTAAAGACATCTTTTGGGCTATGTTAGAGATGTGCTTTCCTTTGTCAGCTGTTCCACTTAAGTAAGCCATGTCACTTTTTCTGGGAGAATGCTATTAAGCTCTGCGGATTGCCAGGTGTTGAGGCAGGTGATTAACTGTGTGGAGCTGCCATCTAGATCTTCTCTGGGATTCCAGTTGAGCCTGTCTTTCCCTTTGCTCCTGCAGAGACATCCGATTGATGCTCTGTCAGAGGCTTTAGTTCTATTCTGTTATGCAGAAATGTCAATAGTTTCTTGGAATATGATAGAGATGTTGCATTTAGGTACTCTGTGGGATCTGAGATTGCCTACTTCCTCAGTGGAAGCATAGAAATTTCAGGACACCCAGGGACTTCTACTGAGTAGGGGAAATAGCTCTTTAAGAGTCTTGAAACTCTTTAAAACCCTCACAAACTGTTGTGGGGACAGCTGTAGCAGCTTTTTGACTCCATTTGTCCACATTGAGCTGTGTGACCCAAGGAGTTTGTTTTGCCAACTGATTATTGTAGAACATGTCTGCTATTAGCATTTTATTTTGCTCAGTGACTATAGGATAAAATGGTGGGAACTTCAAATGGGGAAGAGTGAGATGCTAAGATCAATCTCTCTCCTCTTCTTGTCCTTCAAATAAAGAAAGAGAAGAGAGAGGGGAAGCTTTACTAAATCTTGGAAATTTACTGTAGTGGGAAACATATTGCTAATATAAAGCCCTGTTTGTCTGCAAAGGTTATCCAGGCTTCCAAGCCAAGTGCTCAGATGTTGTTTATCAGTGTTATCCTAACCCAGAGGCAAGACTTAAGCAACATGCTCTGAATGTGGGCAGTGAGGGGTCGTTTCCAATTTTTTCCTATGTTAAAATGATTGCTTAACTTCTTTTGAAAGAAAGGAAGTGTTCCTTTGCATTTTTTATGATTATTCATGTTTCCTCCTAAGTATTTAGTCCGTAAATTGGAGAGATATTAGTTTGTAAAAGAGAGGGGATAGACTGTGAGTCATATAAACTTGTAATTTTGAAGAATAGCTTAAGATGACACGTCTGCGTGTTCTTCATCCTCCTCAACATCCTCTCATTATTATGCTGTCAATATAATCTTATAAAGCAAAGCTGGTGTTTTCATATGATTCAGCAATCTTGAATAAGGGATCCTAACATTCTGTTGTGTTGATTTTTATGTTGTCTTTACAGTATGATGAAAACAAAACAACGCACAGTATTTCTTAATGTCACACTGTACAGATAATAGACCTTGCAATAAATTACTATCTGAACTTAAAATACAGCCCCTACATTAATAATGACCAAATAACCAAGAAAAATAACAAATCCGAGGCCGTCTGCCTTGTATTTGCCTGTTGTTTCCATTTTGATTGCGATTGGCTGGCAAGGGCTGCTGCTGGCATTGCACAATTGGCTTAGATAGGGAATTACAAAACAGGAGCAGATCCCTTGGCTGGGACTCGGTAGCACATGCAGCTGAGCACAGGAGAAAAAGAAAGGTCATCGGTATGCAAGGATTTGAGCGGGATCTCTCTCACAGCTGTTTCCATTCCAGAGAAGCACATCTGATCTAATTTTTCTCATCTCTGACTTGGAGTGTTTAAATGCTGTAGGGATTTTTTTGTTTCAGTGGATGTAAAAATGCACCTGGGAACAAGTTTGCAACCTGGAGGCATATGAGAATTTCAGATGTGCTGAGCAATATTGTGGAAAGATCTGCAAGACCTGCGTTTTTAAGGAGTTTTAAATATCAGTGACGAGGAAGACAATTCAAACAGAAGGTTAAAAAGAAGATGCAAAAGGAAAATGACATTGTTTTGATCCTGAAATTATACTGAAAACAGGATGAAGAAGGGATTATATCAGTGCTACAACAATGGAGATTCAAAACATTTTATTCTCCCCTGAAATAATCTCTGTACAAGAAATGTAAAAACTGCCTTTCATAAAAAAGAATAATTAATTATTTTAATATGGTTTGGAGCTCTGTGCAACATATTTGGGACTGCTGCATCTTTCCAATGATGCATAGGATAGTCAAGTTATTTAGATGAAGAAGATTCCATACAAAAAGGTTAAGCTACTTTTTTTTAACTAGTTGTTAACTGCTTTTTTGAGTGAGAGAACCAGAGAAGTTTCATTTGTATTTTTAACTAAACTTTTTCTTCTTTTCTTCTTTCTTCCTCCAAACTTAGTTTACGAGATGCTGGAATTGGATTTATTCTTGTCATAGATCGCAGACAGGACAAATGGACCTCTGTGAAAGCTTCCATACTGCGAATAGCAGTGAGTACTGTTTTAAATTAACTTCTTAGAAAGATTTTCTCCTCTTGTGAGTAGAAAAGCAGCAATTACTTTATTTCTTGAACAAAATGTTGGCTGGTATATGACACAAAAATATCTAGTGGTGCTTTTGTATCCCAGCTGACTAGGACCAAGCATCATGTGTCTATGATATGTTTTTGATGCAGTTTGCAGCTCAGGACATCAGCCTGAGAAGGAACTTGGAGAGCGTGTGTGTGTGTGTGCATGGAAACATGTGCAGCATGCAGCTCTCCCAAGTGGGAACTAATACCGGCACAGGAATACGCAGAGAGTCTAATACTCATAGAGCTCTGGGTCCACCTTTCACTATTCAGGTGAGCTTTCTTTTTAGGAAGAGTTGAGGATTAGGATCATGATTTAGTTTACCACTTGTGAAAGGAATCCAGATGTAAAAGCTCATCTTGTGGAGTTCAAATTGAAACAAAGGTTTCTTGTAAGCAAGAAAATCTTACATATGTGCTATGGTCAATCAACAGCACATGTGGTTATTTTCAGTCTCCTTTTTAATTAATATTTTTTAAATAAAACTAAGCTTATTAAAGGCTTTTTTTTTCACAAGTAGGAAAAGACAGATTCATGTTTATCATGTGTTTGCCATACTGCCTGTTTACTTTTTAGGTTTTTCTTTCTTGTTATCCTTGCTCGAATTGTTAGTGTTGATAATCTTTCCACGTAAGTGCTGAAAAAGAGAGCTGTAAACATCTTTTCTTTAATTTTTCATGGCTGAAAATTTTAAGCTCTGTAAAATAGAAGCCAAATCAAAACAGTATAAGTCATTTTTGATTAGCCCCATTTTGACCACAGAACTGTTTATTGTAAATTGAAAGGTATTTATTTAAAGGTAACGTATCACTCCTACTGTATGACTTTTTGTGAATTAATATATAATATAATAGTCCCACCATACAACTTTTTCCACAATAAGTATGTTTAGGAACGTTAACATATTAAAAATATACAGAAATATTGGCACAACTTGCTTTTGCAGCTCACTTCGAAATTTTGAGATGCAGCATTGAAAAGATTCCAGTAGTGGAAACTGAGAGCAGCACAATTTGGGGTGATTAAAGAAAAAGGACTGTGTCTCCGGAGTTTTTAATCTCTTTCAAAATTCAATGCCGTAGTTTCTGTTCAAAGACAGATAAGTATTCCACTTATGATGTCCTTTTACGTAATGTAATTGGGGTGACAGGGAGCAAGTACAGATGGGTTGCTTATAGCCATAATATTAATGTTTGTGGTAGCGTTCCTTCAGTGTGTGTTATTTTGCTTAGAAGCACAATATACAGAATCCAAATATCTATTCCCCATGATATGGGATCCATCATGGTAGTGATAGTTTTGGTGCTTAAGGGCTTGCCTGGAGTAGGGTGTTAAGTGCAGCGAACTCTGTGTGTTGCAGTGCTGTTGACAGGGGGTTATTTTTCTTTTTTCTTCTTTTTTCATTCTTTTGTGAGATTTTTTTAAAAGAGAAAGCATGCTTTCTCTCTGAGGTCTAATCTGTTAGAGTCATGATCTTTTTTTTTTTTTTTTCATATGTTTCTTTCACTGAACTGGCTCAGCATTGCCTTTATATTGTGTCTGTAGATGCATGTGGCAGTACTTCTCTTGGGCCTCTGCAATAGTCATGTCATCCTTGAACACCTGAAAATTTTACCTTCCCATTTAAAAAAAAAAGATTTAGTGACAAATCCTTGCTTACTCTCTCCACCATTTGTTTACTCCAATATTTGCTGTAAGTGAACTCTAAATAGGTTTCTGCTGTCCGTTACTTAAAAAAACCGAAGCCAAGTGTACATGATACAGTCACGAGGATTTCTCTGGGTCCTGCTGATGGACAAAGATTTTTTTAAATGACTCAAGAGTAACTAGAGGCTTAACTTCTACTTCTTTGGTTTTCTTAACCGTCAGAGTTGTCTTTTGATGGTGATCAAGCATCTGAGCGTCATTTGAACTGTCTAGATTGAAACCTCGATCTGAAAGCCTGGTATCTCTAGCAGTTGATTGCTAAAGCTTATTGCTGTGTGTGAGGATATGAGTCTCACATTATCTGAGAAGACAGTTTTGGCTGTTGGCTCATTTGTACTAAGTCCTGCGGTGTCTTCCCAGCCATCTTTCCCGCTTTTTCTCAATTCACTCCAAGGGGGTTGACACTTTCGACTTGTGAAATCAGAGATACCAGTGCAGGGTGGTCTGGCTGGAGCAGTGCCCAACAGGAATATCCTGGATGAACATCTGCCCATCACTAATATCCTGACAACTGTAGGAAATATACTTGTAAGCACTGAGTAGCTGGTAACCAGAAACTCATACTAACATTATTTTTTTAAATAATTATTATTTTATGTTGTTTCCAAGACTCTTCAGACACAAATGTTTGCTTTGTACTAGTAAGTGTTAGAAGTATGTTTTGAAACAAAACTAATGAAGAAATAATTTTTGTTTCAGGCTGAATTTAATGTGGAAAATCTTTCTATATTATGAAAAATTTTTAGGCTTCCTTTTACCTTCTTTGTTGTTAGGGATCATTTTATTTCCTGGGACAGAAAATGAGTCATGAGGAGCTGAAGCTTTATTTCATGCTGGTACTTTAGGGTTGCTGTAGAGAGTCAAGGCTGCGAAGATGAGGTAAACCTATTTTTGCAGGCGTAGTGGGAGGGCAGTGGCTGCATCATTCACCTCGGATGACTACTGCTGAAGCACATGCAGTGACAGCAGAACTGAAACGAAAGCCAGAGGCACTGGGCTGAAAAATGGCTCCTCTTTTCCTGGGATGTGATAGAGAGATTGCAGCAAGCATGTGCCCAGGCACGCAGGCTTTGCTATTGTTATACTCTACTTGACAACGTTGCAATGGGCAGGCAGCCCAGGAGGTTGTCCTTAGCCAGTGCAAGACTGCACTGTGACTTAAGAGACACTGTGAACAAGATTATTTTTTTTTTCCCCTGATTTAGCTAAACTGAAGTTATTAGCCTAATGCAGTCAAGAATGGCACGTGTTTGGAGTGTGGCTCATCCTATCTGAGACAGGTGGGACAGATGACCTAGAGATACTACTGACTATATAGAAAGCTTAGCTTTTAGATGGCTGTAAGTTGAACAGAGTTCATCCCTACTGTTGAGTCTCTGGGAAGAGTCTGGCTTACCGGGATAGCCAGATTGAGAAGGGGAGTTCTGGTAAAGACACCAAAAGCCAAGCTTTATGTTGTTAAGTGTGAAGTCTTGGCAGTAAATTGTCATGTTCCTAGAGAGGCTGTAGAAGACTGAAAGGTATTACAAGAAAAATATCAAAGTTAACCATTGCAAATTGTTCACTCTTATTACATTTTGTTTGAAGATACAAAAATTGTTAAGTTTTTTGCCTGGTCAGCTGCTGAGATTCTTCTAAATTTGTGTCGTAATGTCCTGTTTTCAGTTACACACAGTATGCGGAGTATTCAGTCCACAGTTGTAGGAGCAAGGCACATTACTAATAAATGTGTTCTGGGGTTTCACACTGCTTTGTTCATAGTTCCAGTGTGTTTTCTTAAAAAAATTAAGCCTATGTCATTACATTGCCTTTGTCTCTCTTGTTCTATTATCATTTTCTTCCTTCATCCTGAAGGAAAGGTTGAAGTGTGAACTGAGCCTTTTAGACAAAAAACTGCACTCAACATTTGTTAAAAGTTCCACCATAGCCATCCATCAGTGTGGGCAACTGTTCTTCAAGGGCAGCTAGTATGGCGGTCATTCAGGAGGTAGTGAGAAAGTTTTATCCAGTTACAAAACTTTGCAACCCTTTCTAAATGTAAGAAAAGTTGGGTTTTATCCAGCCTCCTAGAGAAGTTTGCTTTGTGATTTGCCACCTTTGACTAAGGATGCATTGAATGCATGTTTCATGGCTTTTGTTTTGGACTGCATTGTCCAGAGCACTGTTTTTCTTAGTTCTTCATAAATGGAAATGCAGTCTTCACTGTAACAGAGGCTTAGCCCATTAATTGCTTTGAAGATTAGGGCCAAGACCTTTAGCTGGCAGGAGGAGGCCAAAAGCCAATGGTGCAACTCAAATGGTAATACCAGCCTAAACCTTGCAGGAGCCAGGCAGTCCCATTTTTCTGCCATTTGGAGTCTTATCATTGGTTTTACATCCAAGGTGAGAAACAGTGTATTACAGTAATCCAACTTGGAGTTTTTTGGTCTTGTTTTTTAGAGAGACATTGATTTTCTTAAGGTGTTGTTGATGGAGAAAAGATCAGTAATTAGTAAGATTAGTAAGCAATGTTCCATGAAAGGCACTATTTTATGTTATGGGTAGGTATTTCCCGCTAGCCCAGTTTCTAGCTGACTTTTTGCATCATGTCCTGGAAACTGTAATGGCAATTTGTGTGTGTTACGTTTGAAAAAACTGCTCTTCTTTCAGCCCCTAGTCATGTTTCTCATTTTTGCTTGGGTTCAAAACAGTACCAAAAACTTGACAGTATGATGGAGCTAAAACAGTATTTGCGTTTATTTTGTAGCTATTGTTATGAATGATTCCAGTAATGATAAACTAAAGAGGTTATTTTGAGATGCTGTACAGTTTTGTCTTGTTGCTTTGAATGTTTTGTAAATATTACGTGTGCAGGCACTTTTGCAGTTATCCTGGTATAGTCAGACATTTTTTTTTCTTTTTATTACATATTTTTCTTAATATGTAAAAAGAGAGAAGTGAATCACTTAAACTCTGCAAACAGGATCATAACATGACAAGCATTAAACACAGATCTAATGCAAAACAGTTCAATGTTTTTAAAACTAGATTTCAAACTGCTCTTTTATGAATTGATTTAATTCAAGATTCTTTCTTGACAAGAAGCCTGTGTAAGAGACTTCATTCTAGCCAGGAATAAATAGTCTTGCCAAAAAAAAAAGTACTTATTAGCTCCTTTATATACAGAGGTATCAAGGGAAAACACCACCACAGAGTTTGGTAATGTGGGCGTATTGAAGCTCTTCATAAAATGAAAAATAGTGTTGTTCCAAGTATTTTAAGACAGAACTACTAAAACTCAGTCAAGCATGAGCTCTTTGATGGCTCACATGGTTCAGATATTTCTGAAAGCTGGCTGTTTACTTGGGAAGTGGAAGAAAAAGGGGCTGTAGGTTCACTGTTTATCAGAACAGCTTTCCTTTGCTGTATAGGAGTATAAAAGACTTCTGAGCACCGGGGCAGCCGAGTGAATTGCTCTGTGGGATTGAACACCAGGCTGCAACTTTATTTTAAGTGCATCTCTGTCTAAAAGGGATACATACCTATCTACGTGATTCCTTTGTATACTAAATAAGCCCTAGGAAGAATCCTGAGATATGAAAACTCAAAAGTGTTGGTTTTCTTTTCCAAAAGCTTCACTGCTGAAAGCTGTAGTAACTGCTCCTGCACTGCCCCTTCCAGGGAGCATCTGCATCCTGTCTCAATGAATATTGTGACTGTTGTAAAGTATGCAATTTAATGAGACTTATTCCTCCTTTGAAAACACCTTCTGCACAATAGCCTATAGCATGTATGTGCTGCTTACAATTTCTGTCAGGCGAGAGCACGTGGGATTGCTGTCCTGCCTGATTGGTGCAGGTGGAATTGTTGAGTGGCTTAAATAGCTGCCTCTTGGTACTAACAGAGCAAGACCACATTACACAGTGGAAACCAAAGATTGGAAGAATGTCAGTACTTGTCTTTGGGGAAACACTGTCCTTCCTTTCCTGCAAATAAGCTGCCACCACCCCTTACCCAGCATCAGGCAGGGGTTGTTTCCTGCTCAGCTCTTGTGGGTCCTTACCAGCCATTCAGCATTGTGTCATCTTCATTCATGAGATGGCTTGCCTCTCCTTAACCTCCCCCTGTTACCCACTGCTTAATGTCAGGGTGGGTACTGGTGCTACAGATAGCCCTCCTGTCATTAATATTCTGTGAAGAAAATGGATAATTTTGCGTTTTGTCCAAAACCCATTTGGATTCAGTCTCTCTAAGATTCCCCCTTTCCAGAAGCCTGGAGCATGCAGTGGAAAGCTCCCCATCCCTGAGGAGCAGAGGCCTGAAAGCAGGCAGGTCAACCTGCTCCTGAGTATTTATTAACTGATTTCACAGAGGATTTAAGATAGCTCCTGTTTTGTCCAGTCAGCAAAGGTTCTTCCCATGTTCCAGGTTTGGGGTACGCATAGGGCAGCAAAGATCTCAGTGTATTGGAAAGCTTTGATTTAGGGGTTATGCTGTATAAAAATTCCTAGGTTGGTCAGATTTATTTCAAAGCTGATAACTACATGCGTGTCTACATCTTTTTTTTTTTGTATCTTTGGAATCAGCACTTGGCCTGACTGGATGGGGACGTGAAGGAGATAAGCAGATAGAAGACTAATCCCACAAGTGTTGTGAAGTACCAAACAAGTGCCAGTGCTGATGCAAGTGAGATGAAGAAATATATTGGTTGGGCTAGAATAGAATAGGGGTTACCCTAATTTTCATAGAGGATAACAAAACCCTGACTCCTGGTCTATTCTGCATAGGCATTAAATGAGTTGAAGTGCAATCTTTGAGACAAGATGTAGGGGGATCAGTTAGTATTAATTAATCTAATAAAGAAAGATGCTTTTGGAAAAAAGAAGTTTTCAAACACACAAACCTTTCTTCAAGTCTCAGTGATGTTTATTGACTTCACTAAAACTGTCCTTAGAGGCACTTTATTTTATGGCATTACTAAACATTTGTGAATATTTATTTTTGTGCTTAACATTTGGCACAGCATTATTGAGAAGTCATTGTTTGCTCTGTCTGCTTAGCATACAATGGTTTCAAACAAATATGCTGCTGAACTGGAATGGAGATTTTCTTGTTGTTCTCTCATGTTCAGGGTGATGTTGACTGATGAAGTTCACACACATCTAAGGAGTGTCTCTTGCGTCATATCTTTGCATGGTCTCTGCAAGTCACCAGGGCTTTAGAAAAAAAAAAAAAAAGTTAGGAAAATAGTAATTTTTGGGCAGTGCTGATATAAGCTCCAATAAACTGGAATAGCTGACGCAGGTCCAACATTGTTTACTGTAGCGATCCTTCCTTTTCTTGTTGTTGTTTCACAAAGATCAGTTGTCAGATTTGACTCCTAGCCACAGCGAGCAGAGGAGGCATCATTTTTTTAGTTAGATTTTTTTGAAAGAACAAAACTGAACGGCAAACATAGGGGAAAGACTAGTGGAGACAAGAACAGTATTGTAGCAAAGTTATTGTAATCTAGAATTTGAGCCTTTGTTGAGAGAGAGGGGAAAGTTCTGGTGAGCCTTGAATGGGAGTTAGTTTAAGGGGTACAAGACTGTAGTAGCTTCAACAGCATCGTTTTGGGTAGACACTGAGATGGAGAATAATTGTAACATATATTTTCTGTCTGTTTTATTTGAATTGAACACTAGTGAGACACCCTACTTAATCTGGTCCTACAATTAAACTCTGTATTTCATAGGAGCTAGTACACAGTTTAGAAAAATTTTCTATTGCATTGCATTTAGCTCCTACTTTTTGCTTCAGTAATAGCCTCAGTATCATAGAATTGCAGAATAATGGCTCTGGTTGGGAGGGACCTCCAAAGGTCACCTGGCCCAACCTTTCATGGGGAAAGGGAGTCTTGATGACATTATCTACAATTGTGTCTCTGTCTCTCCTAGTAATGCCCCTGCGGATGCAGCCCAGGATCTGATTTGCCCTGGTTGCTGCAGTAGCACGCTACTGTCTCATGTTCAGCTTGTTGTCCACCAGCACCCCCAGGTCCCTTTCAGCATATTTTCTCTGAAATTCTGGAGTAAAAATCTAGACTACAGTCCCAGAGTGTAAAAGTGAGAATTTAAAGACAGGATAGGCATTTTCCAGTATTGTGGGTAAGAGTAAATGGGTTGCAAACATGTGCTGCCAAAGACAGTATGTCTGGATATCATGTGGTGGGTGGGGTGGATACCTCACATGAAGACCCCTTATTTTTTTCAAAATGTGTTATCTAAAAGATATTTCTTCTTGGAGATTTTTCTTCTGAAATGTTGGCATTGCCATTGAATGAACTTCAGATTTTGGAAGCTGAAGGTGAAAATGAACAGTTCAGTCAGACTTTGAACACTGCTGTTACAGGCACAAAATATATTGATACATCTAAATGAATAGACTACATGGCTATCATTCTAAAAAGATTATTCAGGAGATTTAATTTAAAAAATTATTTTGTCCATTCTTGCAATGTTTCTTAGTATGAGACAAATATTTTCTTAAATAAATTTATGGTTGTCCTTAGTACAATAATTCATAAAAAAAAATGGAAAAAATAATCTCAACTTGTTCTTCTGAACATGGTTGGGAATTTTCTATGAAAAGTTCTTCCTCTGTTTGATAACTGGGGGTTAGTAAGTCCACAGGGTGTATTACTTAGTACACAGAGAAAGATTGTTTACAGTGCAAGGATGAGGAGCTGGTTTGGGCACTCAGAATTACCTGTATTCTGTTCCCAGCCCTCAGACAGACTCCTTTGGGACTGAACAACTGCGCTTTCTAGAAAATGTGGACATCACTGAGGTGGAGGCAGATTGAGAAGCTCAAGCCTTTAAAGTTCCTCAATTGAATTGAGATCTCATTTGTATACTGAGTATCTGGGGAACCACAATGAATCTGTGAAGTCTTCCAGAAAAGTTTTTAACTACTTTTCTCTTTAAAAGTTTGTCATTTCCAATGCTAAATACCCAGAACCCTTGGAAACTTCCAAATGAGTATTAAATCACTCTCCAGCCTTCCAGATACTGACAGTTTCACTAGGTGTGGAAGCAGAGCATAGCATAAGAGCTCCTTCAGTCAGTGTTTGTTTTTCGGTTGGCTTTTTTTTTAGTAATTCAGTTTGCTAGAAATGTGACATAATTTCCAACAGTATAATGAAGAAAATTGCATACCTAGTAATTATAATGATCATTTCTTTAGTGAGCTTCACTGCCTCCCCACGGTGGAAATACAGAACAGAGGAGAAGACTTGCGTGATTTCAAGAAAGGCTAAATGCCAAGCATGCAAACTTCTGCCACAGCGGAGGTTGATTTTTAGTAATTTAAGGCTATTCCTTTGCTTTTCTTCTCCTCTCTTCTGTTTTCTCCCTATCACTTCTAGAACTGTGAAAGATCCATCAGGCTACTGGTTGGAAGATGATGAGAAAAACCACAGCTGAGAATTATTAAGTTTTGTTTTCATTTTTGTCTGCAAAATTAAAGTTTATTTCTAAGCTACTGCCTGAGACATTCAGTCTCACTGGCAGTGGTTTGTGTAGGGAACTGGCAAGGTAGTATATGCGCAAATTAGAAATGTGTTGCTAGGTGTTGAGACAATAATGGAGGTTTCTCTTGGCACCCTCTCTTAAAGAGAAAACGTTACCGTGAAAGTACTGCTCTTGAAAAAGTACTAAGCCGCCACTGTTTGTTCATTAGCCTAGGATGGCTGGGATGTAATCTTAGCTGAAGAGCAGTACAAGCCAGCCCTGAAAAATTTGATTTCCAGGAGAATAGATTCCTGTTCCCAAAGATGAGTAAATGTCTCTTTGAAAGAAGCTCTTTGTGGAAGACTTGCAAGTTTATAATTGGTCACCCCATTATGGGAGGCATTTGATATGGTTAGTTTGTGGTTTAACAGGGGCTTCTCCGTGTTCAAGAATATTTTCTGGAGCCAAGACACAGAAAATAACAGACTAAACTTGTTTTGCAGGCATCTTTCCCAGGAAACCTGCAGCTAGTCCTCGTTCTGCGCCCAACAGGATTTTTTCATCGAGCTCTCTCAGACATTGCTTTCAAATTCAACAAAGATGAGTTTAAAATGAAAGTACCTGTAAGTAATCCTCTGTTTTCACTTTACTATCAGGGATGTGTTGGAAGTACTTAAGGTAGCCAGTGAGGACCAAAAAAAACCCCAACAAAAAGTCATGCTTAAAGGCGATTCCAGCAATTTTGGCTAATTCATGATGGTTTATTCTTGAAAGAGTACGTAAATTTTGAGGCAAATGCATTTCCCGTAGACAAATACTACAGTTCTTATCATTTGAGCAAACATACAACTGATGCCTGTTGTTACATTGCCAATAAACTCACTAATTATACTTTTGTTTGTAAATGCACAGCATATGTAGTTTCGAAGTTTATTTTAAAATACAAGAGCTAAAGATATACAAGTTATTTTACTTATCAGATGTAAATTTCAAGGGTCAAAGATAGTCTGTAAGTTAAGATACTTTTCCCCTGCCCCTTGTTTATTTTGGGGAGATAGTCCTTTTGTGCCAAATCTACGGAGGTACTATTGTTCTCTACCACAGAGACAGGATAACAAGGGAAAATGAACAAAAAATAAATATTGCTCTTAGGAAATATCCATGTATGGTTTATCAAGATAAAAATAACTGATGGTGTATTTTATCTTGTATAATCCATAAGATTTTTTTAATATGCCTGGTGCTCATGCTCATATGCAGTTATTTACATTTACTTCATCTTCAACTGAAACAACCGTTATGTTTATTTTTCTATGCCCAAAGGAAATAGTTCCATCATTTTCTTCTGTATTAAACTGAATTTTCTCTATCAGAGGCTGAAGGATGGGGCTTAGAATCCTTAACGAGGGAGTCCTCAGCACTGATAACATTCACTTTTTTAATTTGCTGCTGCAGATCATAATGCTGGGCTCAGTATCAGAACTGCAAGGTTACATTGATAAAACACAATTAACAGAAGATCTTGGTGGCACCCTGGATTACTGCCATAACAGATGGCTGTCCCGTCGCACTGTAAGTCTTGGGGTTTGTTTTAACTTTTCAATTTAATGAACCTTTCTGTTTTATACCCTGCAATTTATAAAACAGATTCCAAGTGATGCAAGTTGACTTGCTCTGAGTGAGAAGATGTTCCCAATGGTACTTAGTCATCTTAGAGAAATAATATGAGTAATAATTTGGGAGGGGTTTTCTGACACTTGGAGCAAAGGAACTAGAGTGTATTATTGTGTTGAGGTTTATTGGTTTAGCTACAAGAAAGAAAAAGCTCAAGTTGTAAAATACCTCCAGAGTATAAAAGATGAGGAAGATACACCTAATGCGAGCCTAGGAAAAATATACAATTAAGGAATTAATGGTGACAATATCTGTTGCTTGCAAAATTACATTTTGACTGTTTTTCAGTCTTGTAATTCATCTGCTCGGGTTTCTTTTGAGAGTTATATTTTGTGTGTATGTGTCTGTCTGTGCATATGATGTGATGAGCATGAAACATCTTTAATGGTTTTTATTCCAAAAGGCTATAGAAGGTTTCGCCCAAAAGGTTAAGCAAACAGCTCAGATTCTTCAGTCCTTTGGGACTGAGCTGGCTGAAACAGAACTACCAAATGATGTGCAATCAACCAGCTCCCTTCTTGCAACACACACAGAAAAGAAGGACAAAATGAAGGTATGTAATTTTTGTAAAGATGCTGTCTTCTAGTTAAACTGTTTTCATTTATAGCTAATAATGTTAATAGAAAATCTGGAGGATGTTAATAGACAATAATGAGAAACACTGAAATATTATTGAACTTGTTTTCTTGGTTTGATGTTAAAAATCCTTTTTGCATTCAAAAATGACATTTCATGATCCTAAGTTTACATATGTACAAATGCGTAATGATTTGGGGAATGGGATATGGGGAAACAGAAATTCCTTTGTAAGTAGTGGTGTGCTTAATTTCACCTTTTGTTTGCAACAAGAAATTTGATTGTATTTGCACGCATATGAAAATATATGATCTTCTGAAGAATGGACAAATGTTCTTTCAAATCAGCTTAAACAAAACCTATTTGGGAGTTTCAAAACTATACATCTAAAACTTTTGAGATGTTTGTAGCCCTAAGAAGACACTAGAACGCTATCTATAATGAAAATACAGCTCAGTTACATTGAGACCTTAAGATGGTAAATGTGTAAAAAGCTGACATTTAGCATTCACTGCCTGTATTTGTTGTCAAACACTGCTTTTAATCAAACTAGGCTTGCTCTATTGCTATTAAAACAAAATTCTTTTTCCAGTTCAGTGCATTAAGAAGACTGCTTAAAAAAAAAAACAAAACCCCAAACAACATCATGCAACTACAGTGTGTTCATTTTTTGTTTTCTTTTGTAGGAGGATATCAGGTTAGCAGTAGAACAGGGAGATGATATCCTTGGAAGTATTACAAAACCAGTTACTGAGAATCCTGATTACAAACTGAATCAAGATCAGCTGGACAATCAAACAACTGTAGAAAGGTGAGAGAAGGGAGATGCTGAACATGCTATTTTTCTGCGTATTTTGACCCCTCCCCAGCTCTTCTACTTAGTTACATATGCATGCTTAGCAGGTAAGCAAATATTACATGTGGACACAAAAAAAAGGTGCTTTCAGAAACAACTCTTCTGTTGTCAGCTCTGTCCTGAGCAAAGTAATCCCCCAGTGTTTATTAGTGGGTCACCTGGCTATAAGGAAATAGGGTTGTAGTTTGAGTTCCAGTATCAAGAAAGTAATACTGGTTTTTTCCTTTTTATCAGATTTGGACTATAAAGTTGAGCAGCTTTTCCTTATTTTAATTAATATCAATACTTTGTTTAGAGACTAAAATGCAATCCAAGGAAATTTCGCTGCTGTAGCGAAAGCAGGAGGGGAAGACAGAAGTGATATATCCCTTATTTGATTTGTCCACTTTTGTTAAGTCCTTTTTGAACTGAAGTGGGAGGTTTCTTTTTTTTTCAAACCTGCCTGAAGGAGCTTCTAACATTGTTAATATCCGATCAATGTCGTTACTAGCCTTTAAAGGGCTTCTAGGGAGTATACTACTCTTGAAGTATCTATGCACAAACTTCCTATATGCTTCCTTTGGGCATGTAAGTAATAGATGTTTTCCTTTTCTTTCCACCCACATCCCCTTAAATTACTGCCAGTTTTGAACACATTATATCACTATAGCACAGATGTAAATTTGCACAAAACTATGAAAGCATAGCTCATTTCCCCCAGGCAGTACTCTGCATTCTTTTTTTGTCTGTCATTCCACGTTTCTGTTATACTTGGGCTGACTTTTTGTTCCAAATAACTGTCCATTCCAATCTACAAAGCTTGGCAGAAGTAACTTCTTTGGTCATTGTTATCAGCTATGCAAAAGGCAACGGGGGTGGAGGTTGCTCACTGATCCAAAATGTTCCCACTCAATACAATATTTGACAGAAGCTGGAAAAAACTCTGTGTGTGTATGTCCCCGCCTTTTTTCTAATCTGTTTTAACTTATAAATTCAGAGTTTGTTTCTGTGCTATTAAAGACAAAAGTTCATTAAAAATCTGATATAAGGCCTTCCCTGGATGCAGCCTAAGTTCAGCAAAGTGCACTGCAAAGATAAGTCCATAGGATACCATAATGTCAAATGTAAAATTATACTTGAAGAAGGCTCTTTTCATCGCAATACTACTGTATGCTTGTCTGTAATATTTAAGCAATAACTCTGCTCAGAAGAAGAGGAGCAGTGACCTCCAGGTTTATTATGAGCCTTGCTCCAAGGACTGAAATGTAAGGGCAGCTGGCTGGTCACAACAGTATGAATTTTTGCCTTCTTTTTTCCTTATAGCCCAAGGCTGGGGTTCCTCTGTGTCCTAGGCCATGCACATTTGCATTTTTTATTTATGTTTGCTAGCCCCAAGTTGCAATGTCCCTAGGCCAGAAGTGAGAAGTAGTATGTGCAGCAGCTAGCTTCAAATCAGCACTTGCCAATTTTTCAGAACTTAATGTTTGTGTTGGGTTTCAGTTTTGCATCAATGTTATTCTAGGAAACCATTCTGTGCAATACTCAAAAAAGTTTCCTGTATCCAGTTTATTTTTTCTGGAAAATATTGCTTTGGAGAGGCTTTTTATTTACTGTGGAAGATTGTATTGTCCCTTGAAGGTTGCACCCATCATTCTTGGATTATTTCCTTTTTTTTTTTTTTTTTTTTAAAGGCTTCTGGCTCAGTTACATGAAACGGAGACTGCCTTTGATGAGTTTTGGATTAAGCATCAGCAAAAACTTGAGCAGTGTCTGTGCCTTCGGAATTTTGAGCAGAATTTTAGAGAGGTGAGAACTTCTTGCTGACAGACAATATTTGGTAATATAGAAATGATTCAGAAGAAAATACTTTTCCCTTTTGTTTTTGCAGGTCTTGTGTGTGCTTGAAAGCTTTCTCCAGCTTTTTTCTTGTATGTGTCCTTACTTGACATCCTGCTATCTTTCCTACTTTGAACACTTGCCTATAGAGACATAATAGCTTCTCTTCTGCAGTCTTATGATTTTTTTTTTCCTTGGGCCCAGCACTGTATAAGTGTTCAAAAACTCCTTTGAAACCTGTTCTCCACCACAGAAGCATAATATGCTGTCTGCAAAGCTTTCATCTTGCCAATAGGCCCTTTTATGGAACCAAGACTTACCTAAACCTCCTGGCTGAAATGTTATAAAACAGTCTCCAACACTGTGGGTGGGAAGTTGCAGCCACAATGTTAGAAGCTGGGTGGAGGGTGAGCTAAAATTTTACAGCCAGTTTGTGATCTCATGTTAGTTTAGGTGCTGTCAAGCATATGAGTTACAGTCACTTTACTCTGGTGTAGCTGATCTCAGAGCATGGCCCCTGTGTCTCCATGGGACCGAAGCTCAGACACCCTCTTACAAATGTGTGTGTGTGTGTCTGTCTGTCTGTCTGTCTTTCTCTCAACTGATTGTTAGGGTGAGGACCTCTCCCTCATGTTTTGCTGTTTACATTAATGTCGCTTTGTATTGTCATCTGGTAAAAGCAAGATCATAAATGCTTCCTTAGCATTTGTTTTATGCATATTTTTTTTCAGTACCAGGAAACAGGATTAGTTCACTGCTTTTTCTTTGTATTTGTTTTAATTTTGAATTGAGGGTAAAGGTACAAAAAAGTGATCTGTCTTTGTGCCCTGGCAACCCCGTAACATGAGTCACCTGACTGGAAATAGTGGCTATCACCTATTTAACTGACGGGTCTCCAGAGAGGTGGAATCATCTTCATTGATACATGGCTATGTCTCATTTCAGGTCAAAGCAGCTTTGGATATTGTGTCCGAAAGACTGTCTGCTTTCAGAGATGTGGGAAACAGCTGTTCACATGTGGAGCATATTTTGAAAGATCTTGCCAACTTTGAAGAAAAATCATGTGTAAGAACTCTGCAAGTCTCCTTGATTTCTAGTATGACAAGGCGTGTGTGGAGGGGAGCAGCATTTGGTTACTGACTATATCTTATGAGCAGAGCTTGAGCTGACAACAGGGCAGAATCAATGTCTCCAGTAATGTGCAGAAGGAATTTGGAATCAAGTCTTTAATCATTGGAGCAGCCTAGTTCTTGGACATCCCTCAATAAAAAGCAGAGTGACCAGTCACAAACTCGGTGTGATGAGTTCGTGGAAGAATTGCATGAAGTGTCTACATAGCCAAGTTCTGCACTTAGTGATCAAGAGCTACTTCCATTCCTATTAAAGCTGCTTATTTCATTAAATCTCAGAAATGAGAAAGCTGTGTATTGAATGTATAATATGTTAAAAGATGACCAACAGAAACATACACTCTGAACAATGTAGAAAGAGAACCTTATGATCTGTGCTTCACAATAAAATATATAGCTTTGTAAGTGAGGTCATTGCTCTTGACGCTGAGGTGCCAGGGTTAGGTATTTTTTAATTTGGGTTCAGATTGCTGCTGCTGTACTCCAAATTGCATACATACAAACAGAAACATGCTGCTGAAGAACTAAAGCGTAGAAAGACAATAGCGATTCCTTCACAGGGAGCCTTATGATTGAACTCATTAATGTTTCTGAAGTACTCTGATATGATAAAGAAGGAAGCATGAAAGTTCTTGGGCATCTGGGAAGACAGGAAATCACTTTGATTTATTAAGCAAGGCAGCTGTTATCTAAAGATGTGTTCTTTATCAACATGTGTGTTTTACTGTGTAAAAACAAATGGTATAATTTTAAATTGTTTTAATTGATGTTGATCCAAGGAATGATGTACTTAAATCAGTGCTTGCTTTCTTAGGAAACTATAGCAAAAGCCAGAATGCTAGCCTCAGAGGGTGATGCTTTTATTCAAAGCAATCATTATGCTGTGGACTCCATTATTCCAAAATGCAGTGAACTTCTTCACCTCTGTGATGCCTTCACTACTGAGATAGAGCAGAGGAGGAATCTTCTTAACAAATCTCTAGAACTGCATGGCTTACTAGAAAAGGTAAATTTTTTATGGAACTGTTCTGTTCTGTTTCCCATCTTGTTTACTAAAACCTCAGCCAACCAGTTGTCATAATGGCAGGTAAAAATATCTGGGTGTGCTGGAAGTTTTCTCCTTAAAATAGTTGAATATAGCAGAAGTAGAAGTCTGAAATGTTTTAGACCTCTTAGTGTTTGATGCTGACATTGGTGCATTCTGAGCCTGTTCTCTTCTCTGTTTCTAGTCCATGAAGTGGTGCGATGAAGGAATTTATCTGCTGGCTTCACAGCCGGTAGATAAGTGTCAGTCTCAGGATGGTGCAGAATCAGCATTACAGGAGATCGAGAAATTCCTGGACACTGGTGCAGGCAATAAAATCAAGGAGCTGAATAAAATTTACAGAGAGTATGCACACATCCTCAATGAAGATCTAAAGGTACCAGAAGATGTTTTTGTGTATCTATACGTCCATTTGTTATTTTTAGAATTGCTCTCTTGCATGGCCATTAATAAAGCTAAAGAATCAGTACTAAGAGTTATACCTGGGAAATGGAAAGGGGCTTCAGAGTCTTTTAATAACTGCTTCAACTTTTCAGATAGGAGGATTACTTTTTAAAAAAAAAAATCCCAATTGAGTATTTGAAATATATTTTTTATGTAGCAAAAACGTGCCTGTCCTTGATGTTTGTGTGACTTCTGCTTTGTAATTGCTTTTTATTTAGAACTTGAGAATATGTCCCTTTTCCTGTTGATTGATCTCTTCAAGTAACAGCACCATGAGACATTGTCAAGAAAACTTTTCCCTAATTTTTTTTTAATTGAAATCTAAATCCCATTGGTTTCTCTACAGCAAGCACACAAAATGTTTTATGCGGTGAAGTTACAATATTTAAGTGTACTAAATGAATGTAAATGATGACCTCTTAGCAGTAAAGAGTAGGGTAATCTTTTTCTACGTGGTATAAAAGCAATTCCAATTTCACATCAATGTGCTGTAAATGGCCATGTAGCTTGTTGATAGGTCTCTGAAAATGATTTTTTTTTTTTTTTGTAATTGCTGTGGCAATGGTAGGAGCATGTGCAAAAGGTTTTCCAGAAGCAAGAAAGCATGGAAGAAATGTTTCAAAAGAGACAAGTAAGTCTTAAGAAACTGGCAGCTAAGCAGACACGTCCTGTTCAACCAGTTGCGCCAAGACCTGAAGCCTTTGTAAAATCTCCTTGTACGTCTCCAGGTAACTGTAGTAGACTTTAACTATTTATTTTTTTGCACTATGCTGAGAAACTTGAAGAAACTTTCAGCTGTAATTTGTGGTTCCACAAACATCTGTGTGAGATTTGCTCAAGTTCTAACTGCTGTTTGATTCTGGTTTACATTTTTAGGTCTTCAAAGAGAATACGGATCCAACTCAGAAAGCAATGCACTTCGGAGGGTAAACTGCAGAAGAGGAAAGGTATTTTTTTTTATTCACGCTTTTTATGCACGTATTGCTTGAGAAAGTCGTCATACAATGAAATATTCAAGAACTTCAAGATGAATGAGGCAATTCCACTGAAAAAGTGATGGTATTGCCCCTATCGAAGTAACTCTGGTAAAGCAGTCGTGGTTTAAATAGAGGCTGCTTTGTGGCTGGGCTGGGTATGAGGAAAGGTAAAGTAAATAGTTGCCTATATTAGAAAAAAATGTTAGGGGCAGCAAAATATAAAATCTATGAACAGGAAACATTTATTATTTGCCAGTAGTAATTGGCTACTCTTAAAACTGGTGAAAGTGAAGAGGTAGTTGTCGTTGGCTCCAAGACAGCTTCACCTGACCTAATGGGTTGCCATTCCCAAGTGGGGATGGTCTTCCTGCCCCACCTCCAGCAAGGAGAGTAACCTGACGGCAGAAGCAGAAACAAATACTTTCCTACTGGGTGAGAGAGTTGAATCAACTCAGCAAAGGTTCAGCAAGAGACAATGCGACGAAGAAGGCAAGACCACAGGACCAGTAGGGACAACAGTTGGAGAAAAGGGTTGGTTCAAGTGGGGATTGAAAGCAGAACTTCTAATTTGTTTCAGCAAGCTGTAATTAGATCTGCCATTGCAGGAGAATTTGTAAGAGTGAGCGCCTGTGTCAAGCTAGGACATTACCAGAAAGTTAGCACAGTGCCTCATTTTTCATGTGGAAAACAGACTAAGGCCAGTGCTGTCTCCAAAATTATGCTGATGCTCTGACGGAAAGGGGCCTTGAACCACGGTATTTTCTAAGCTGGCCTTTCATGGAGAACTCCCTGTGTCTACATATTCCTTGTGTGCTTCGAGACCTTCAGGTTGACTTGGATTTTTTGCAGTGTTCTTGCAAATCACCTTCATTTTTAATGGAGTACAGTCTTTCCTGTGAAAACGCATGCAAGTAGCGCTGAGTGCAAAGCTCTGTATTTTAAAGTGTTTTTCCCCCATCTGTGATACCATGATGATTTGTTGTTGTTGTTTGTTTGTTTGTTTGTTTCCTTCTTCAGAGTGAAATGACTGAACTGCATCAAAGCAGAGGAGGATCTACAATGGATGATGAAGAAAATCTAGCTGTGTTACGGCAGTAAGTGTATTTTGATAAACAAAAAATGCTTTTTCTCTGATTTGGTTCCAGCAAAGGCTGAATTTGGCTATGGATTTGGTAAGGCAAGTATGCTTCTCTGAATTAAGCCTCAGTGCTTTTTGAAATGCATTGGCTATGCTCTGTACACAGAGGAAGATACTTCAGTCTGTCTGCAGCATTGTTTATAGCTTATGTAGTACCAGACTTTAGCTGTGCTGCAGCAAGGTGATGCTATGGCAGGATAACTACATATTTTCATTTTGGAGACAACATAGTTTTGAGTAATAAGCCTCTTGTAAATCTGTCGGAGGTCTTGGTTTCCATATGTCAGAAGACTTTGACTCTTTTTAGTGCCTGTTTTGGTAAATGTTATGAAAAGCACTTTCTTATATAAAAACTAAACAGCATCACTTATATAAAAAAAATAACTTGGTGCCACCTGCAATATGTATAGCAGAGTTTACAATTCTACCTGTAAACTGGATACTTCTACTGTCTTCTCACTTTACAACCATGTGTTAAATCCTACAAAATCACAAGGGGAAGGGGGCTGGGAGGAAGCATACTTGCTTGATTATTAGGGAAATTAAACTTAAAACAGCATTGTGATATTTAAAGTGTACCCTGAATGCCTCCAATTTAAAATAACCAGTGTAACTTTGTCTGTATTTGATAATTCCATACAGCTCTAACTCCAGCTCCTGTAATACTGGCAAACACAGCATAACCTGATTTTGTATGTATAGTGATAAAATGCTTCACTACTTCAGCTCAGTTACTACAGCACTTAAAATGCTAGATTTGACTTTTTTCCTGTTTAAACACATTTTCAAAAATCTTAAAATGTTTTAAAAATACATGCTTCTCAATAAGAATATGTAAACTGTTGAAAGAAATATCCATGGAACATCACATCTATTACCTAGGAATTGTTCTTTTATTGTCTGAAGTATAGTAGAAACACAGATAAAGTTAATGTTATTATTTTGTGTAAGTGAATAGGCCTGCCTTAATTGTCATTCTTTTTCTACAGGCACGTGATGAATGAACTTATTGAGACTGAACGAGCATATGTTGAAGAACTTCTCTGCGTTCTTGAGGTAAAGATTAAATTTCACTGCGGCTGTTAGTGGATCTATTTATCTCTTCCATTTCATGGATGCTTTTATGCTTTCTTTATCACTGTAATGCCTCTGCTTGTGCTGTCAAGCAGTGTGATCATTACATATCTCCTCTCTCATCGTATTTTCACAGTGGCAGGAACGTGCAATATTTTTCTCTAAATATTCACGCAACTAGAATTTTGTATTAGAAAACACAAGTTAGGCAGAAAATAAGATATGCCTAACTCTTTAGGAGGAACATAGTGAGATTTGTAAGGATTCCTGCAAAAGTTAATTCCAGAGTCTTGGGTCAGCTCCAGGAAAGTCATGTGTCACACAGGAATGTGACTCTGCATCAAGAGAATCTTGTGTCAGTGGAGAAAACTTGTTTCTTGCATCCCTTTTTGCAGATCTTTAAGTGATCTTCCAAATGTCTTGGGTACAACTGTCTCAAAGTGCCTTGTGATAATAATATCTTGATTCAAAATTGTAGAGGAAACAAAGGTGTTACCTTTGCTCCACACTTGTGGAGGCACAACTGCAGTACTGCTGAGTTGCTTGCAGAAACACACTGCAGTATTTTGTGTTGTTTCTCAAGTTTAAGTCTTCAGATGTGGATATGTCATTTTGTTGTAGTCCAGTTTGACTGTAGGAGATAATGAAGCTGCAGATAACTGAGGCTGAATTATTTTAATTACGATGAATTGTCATTGAGCCAATTGAGTACTCTTGGTGTCCATGCCAACATTAAGCTCCTAAATAGGAACTATCTTTAAGTTATGGACTGGGAGTGATGATTTCTGACTACATGCCTTCAAGTAATAGTACCATATGAGGGTTTTGAACTCAGATCTTGCTTTTGCCTAATTTGTACTCAGCTTCCCATACCGTTTATGTCCTGGGTCTGGCCCAAGTGCTAGGAAGTGTTGGCAGTAGCATGGTTGCATCTGATGTGTGGTAATAAAGCAAGGTAGGTCTGGAGTGGACCTTAAAGATCACTTTATTCTCTGCTTTTGTTCGCAATGCTGTCTGTACAGTTTGGATGGTAAAATCAAGACTGGCATAGTTGGAGGATTTTTGGTCCTTACTGCTGCTACTGGAGGGTCATTGCAGAATATCTCTATTCCTCCAGTATTACTCTTATTTTGACTATAGTGCAACCCTTGTCTTGCTAGGTCAAGCTGTCTTGGTTTTCTGCCAATGTGATAGACCCTCCAGTACTCTGACTATGCCAGACACACTTCTCTGTGCCTTCTTGCAGTTTGTGATTCACCTCTCTCTAATTTGAGTGGTTAGGATTGCTAAGAGTAATCCTGGATCAGATTCCTGATGAGGTATGGTTCAGTGCCAGCCTTCCAGCTTTTGAGTAATTCTAGTTATTAATCCATAGTTCTGGCTGTTCTCCCAATTCCTTTGTTTCTCTTAGGCTATTAATCTTCCTATTTTTCCTGTAAAATTACCTGATACTCCTTTGTATGGACAGTGTCTCCTATTATTATGTCATATTTAATTGTCATGTGTTTTCTCTCTGCCAAGGATTCCAATAGAAAAAAAACAAACAAGGTAGTTCCCAGAATTGATTACTGAGAAACAGCTATACCTGCTTTTTATCCAAGCTTGGTAGTTTTCCTTTCATTAATAACTATGGTCATCTGACTTTGTCTGTGAAATCCTGTAATTTTTATCAGGAAAAATATTGGTCTAGTCTATTTTTAGGGGAATGTGGAACTTCAGGACAGCCTGGGATGTAGCGACCATGAAATGGTGGAGTTCAAGATCCTCAGGGCAGTGAGGAGGGCGCACAGCAAACTCACTACCCTGGACTTTAGGAGAGCACACTTTGGCCTCTTCAGGGACCTGTTTGTAAGAGTCCCATGGGATAAAGCCCTGGAGGGAAGAGGGGCCCAAGAAAGCTGGCTAATATTCAAGGATCACTTCCTCCAGGCTCAGGGGCGATGCATCCCAACAAAGAGGAAGGCAGGCAAAAATGCCAGGAGGCCTGCCTGGATGAACAGGGAACACCTGAGCAAACAAACAGAAAAAGGAAGCATACGGAGGGTGGAAGCAAGGACAGGTAGCCTGGGGACAATACAGAGACACTGTCCGTGAAGCCAGAGATCAGGTTAGGAAAGCTAAAGCCCAAACAGAATTAAATATGGCCAAGGACGTTAAGGGTAACAGGAAGAACTTCTATAGGTATGTCAGCGATAAAAGGAGGACTAGGGAAAATGTGGGCCCCCTCCAGAAGAAACCAGGAGACCTGGCTACCCGGGGTATAGAGAAGGCTACAGGTGTGTCTTACTGAACTGACAGAAAACCAGAATTTGTATACTTCTTTCATGATAAATACTGAGCTCCTTCTTTGCTGTCTGTCAGCCTGCAGACAGACTGCCTTGTCAGAGAGAGCTAAGTTACAAATCAAGGGAGATCAGCCTGCCTCTCTCCTGTGTTACAGGGGTATGCTGCAGAGATGGACAACCCCTTAATGGCTCATCTCATCTCACCAGAACTGCAAAATAAGAAGGATATCTTGTTTGGGAATATGGAAGAAATTTATCACTTTCACAACAGGTGAGGATTTGCATTCAAATATAAAAATGGCATTTAGATGGGATTCCTTACTATTTCTTTTAATCTGATTTAAATTGCTAAAAGATCCTTACTGAGTCCCACTTGGCTGTCTGGCATGTCAAAATTCACACTGCATGGAAGAGGAAAGGCAAAATATCTATAAAAGATGAGCAAAGCTCTGTGAAACTTTATCTGTGTATCGTAAACATTTGAATAAAATTTTGCATTGTGGTCCTCTTCCTAAAGAAAGGTATTTGGATCTGGTTACAAGCTAATTAAAGCAAGGTTTGTTTGGTTTTTATTTTCTTTTTTTTTTATGAAATTTGCCATGGAAAGTATCTTATTCTAAACCACAAATTCTCAACTCTCATATCTGGTTGAGGCTGGTTAATTTTACACTTGTGTGACCTCTCTCTGAAGTTTGAATACTTGCTGCTAGAGAGGTATTTCTTCACAAGAGAATATTTAAGTTATTAGAAAAGAGAAGTATTTTCAAGAGAAGTTAAGCATATTAAATAGTTGTTTCTTACTCAGGCAAAACTAGACTGGAAGTTTTGACACTTTTTTTTATTTTTGGCAGGGGCGTTGGTTTGGGGAGGTGGGGTTTGGTTTGTTTGTTTGCTTTCTGTTGTTTAGTAATATTTGGAATGAAAAACCAAACACTTTAAATTGTACAAATCCCACTGCTGAATACATTAAGGCAGGGAAACAAAATCCTCCTTCCCAATCCTGTATTTGCTTTTAGTTGTAGCAATAGTAAACTAAAATAAATTTATTGGAATGTTTGTTTTCATTTTTAAGTACACGATCTAGAAGAGTTTTGTTTAGTTTTGCAGTGCAGAATTACAACTGTTTCCAAAAGTTTAGAAAACGAATTGCAAGAATGTGAACATTTACTACAACTGTTTTAACATGTGCTCTAAGAAAATTTTCTTCCTCATAGAATATTCTTGAGAGAACTAGAAAACTACGTAGACTACCCAGAACTAGTAGGACGGTGCTTTCTGGATCAGGTATGTGTCATCTTCTGCTGGGATTTAATTCATAAGCCCCTCTAAGACTGTAACATATGAGAGTGATTTTCATATAGTAATTGCTACCACATCGCCTTTGTCTTGAACGGGTAACAGGTTGAGAGTGTAAATGTTCATTGAGGGCTGGGGATATTTTCCACTGTGTGGGGTTATTAATTTTGTTAGAAAGTGCTACTGCGTTGTCAACGGAAACCTGCTTTGTTAAAGTGGCAGTTAGGAAAACATGAAGAGAAGTCCTGCACTGCATCAGTTCACATCACTATAAATGATTGGTTTACATGGTTAGATTTCTTTACTGGATTTTTTTGTTGTTCTTTTCTGTTTTCGTTAAAGATTATACCACAACAGAGTAAGTTCAAAATATTTTTATTCAGAAAATAAAAAGCTATGACAGAATTAAACTTTTTAAATCTGAAATTAATTAAACAACAAGTCTCAGCCATAGTATACCAAAGGCTAAATAGGAATCTGTTTATGGAAATCAATCTCCTGTTGTTACTACCTATAGATGCTCTAAAAATCCTGGGAGGAGCCATCCCTCCCCCTCCTATTTACTGGCTACATCCACGGAGATGCTATTTGCTAAAACTGAGGGACAGAGGTACTTCTGTGCTTGCTGATTTCCTGCCTAATCTTCCCTTTATAGTTATTATGACATTTTCAGCAGCCTTATTTCCTTTTGCCTTCAACAAGTGCTGAAGTCATACTACTTAGTTGCTGAAGTTATAAGGGGCAACAGACTGCTTGGTCTGCCTTAGTGCAACTCCCAGAACACATTCATAAAATTAAGATATATACAGAAAACGGGCAAAGACTTCTTAGAAAGTTGCACAGAGGGACTCCTGGTTGGGCATTCATCGAAGTATTTTTCATATTGTAATAGAACTATATTTGCAAATACAATATATGCTTCTTCATCAGGTGCTTAACATTCAACTGAAGCAAAAATTAACAGGAACATTTTATTCTGACGTTCCAAATACAAAATTAGTAGCCATTACAAAATCAATTATTTTGAATAATTGTTTTTTGCTTGGGATGCCCCCCTGAATTGTATTTTGTTGTTGTTGTTGTTGTTTTTTTCTTAGCCTTATTGAGTAGGAAAAAAATTCTTATGAAATTTGTCCATTAAAGTCACAAGAATTTATTAACTTTTTGCTTATCTCACCAATTTCAGATGGAAGATTTTCAGATCTATGAAAAATACTGTCAAAATAAACCTCGATCTGAAAGTTTGTGGAGGCAGTTTTCAGACTCTGTATTCTTTCAGGTATGCTCACTAGAGTCTTTATTTGTGGAGCGGGTTTTGTTGCTTGTTTTGGTTGGGTTTTTTTGGACTTCATTTATGTCAAGAACAAATAACAGAAATACTGATTAGTGTACTGATTAAATCTAACATTGATTACAGGAATGTCAAAGAAAACTCGATCACAAGCTCAGTTTGGACTCATACTTGCTGAAACCCGTTCAAAGAATAACCAAATACCAATTATTGCTGAAGGTATGTGGTGCTGAACTGTAACAATAAGAATATTTTGTGCTTTGGTTTTTCTAAATGCTGCCTCTCTCATCCTGCTGGAGAGAAACCTAACAGTTAGTGAACAGACGTATAAATTGAAACGGAGACAAATCCCAGTCTATCAGCTTTCAGCTCAGTTCTTTCTCTTTCAGCCAAAAAGCTGCTAGTAGACAGGCAAATGTGACCACAGAGACACCTTGTGTAACTTCTTTTGCCCTTAAATTTCTGCTGAAGAGAAGAAGAATAAAAAGTTGATTAGGGGAAACAGAAGGACCAAGAAATCTTTGCAACAAAGACAAGAGAGTATCTGAAGTACTTGTTACTTGCAGTTATAGTCACCTCATGCATATTACAGTAATTTCCCTTGCTGGGTTCTAGGAAATGTACTTAACTGAGAGCACTGTATGGTATTTTTAGGAAGGATGCCATCATGATTCACTTAAACATGCTGTACTGAGAGAGAAAAATGAGAGTAATATACTGTTATAAATTTTAAAATTAATGTCTAAGTTTTTGCAATGTTTGAAGCTGGCTTGTTTTAAGAAACATTTCCCATGTAGACACACATTTCAGTAATTTTATTTAACAGTAGTTTAAAAAATTTACCTTGGACCAAATTTACTCTTGAGTTAAAACTCAAAGTTTAAAACTCAAAGAATTAATTCATTAAGCTTGTATGAAGACAGAAGTATTGGAAAGGTTTTCAATTTAAAGTATCTTTAGTACCTGCAGTCCATGGCTAAATGCTTACTGTCATACAATGAAGTCTGTGGAATTCTACGTGAACTCACAGCTATGTTTATCTGCATCAAACTGGAAGATGCAGCTTCACCAATAAGTCCTTTGGAGAAGGGGTGTCTCTTTAAATGTGCAGGCAATGCTCAGTGCAGTAAGTTTAAGTCTGTTACTAGCATCCCAGGTCTCAAATAGTAAATTAAATTTGCCTGTGTTTTTACATTGGTTCACTTCTATAAAGTAACAAATATAAAAAGTAAAACTTTGGGGGAGGGGGGGTGTTAGCAATTATGATGAAGAATGTTCGTAGAGTTAGTCTTGTAAAATTCTTAGGTAGTGCTTATAAAATGGTTACGTTAGCAACATATATTTGGCTAATTAGCAGCAGAGATGAGAAGTAAAACTTTAGGGTCTTCTGAGTTTCAGACAGTATTTAACCCACTAGATTATATGGTATAAAACTTTACAGGACAACTTTAAAAATTTTAAACAGTTAATTTAAAAACTTAAATTCAATGTTAAAATATGAATGTTCCTACTTATTGCTGTTTCAAAACTAAGTTTCTTGCCATTCCCTGCCTGCTCAGGAAATGCTGAAGTACAGTAAAAACTGTGAAGGAGCTGAAGATCTTCAGGAGGCGTTAACTTCTATACTGGGTATTCTCAAAGCAGTTAATGATTCTATGCACCAGATAGCCATTACAGGCTACGATGTGAGTAATGGTATTTTTACTTATTTTTAAATTTATTTTCATTTATTTCTTAGATATATATACAGCATGCCCCATACCATGTATTAATGACAAGAAGCATGTTTTACAAAAGGTGTCTTTAGACTGAATTGTGTAATGAAAATAATGGAAAATGGATCCCTCTATAATCTTCTGAATTTTTTCTCCTATGAGTAATATTTTGCTCTGTCTACCCAAGTTTTCTTCCTTTCATCTGTTTGACACCAAGTTAGAAAGTCATCATGAAGAGCCTTGTTTAGGCTACTGTCAAATGGGAGTCACTACTAAGTTTTTATATCCACATGTGAAACTACACCTAAAACTTCTGGTTAAAATAATCAACAATATAAGGAGCTTTGGAGCAAAGTTTTGGAAAAAACAAATGTGTATCATGCTTCCCGTATGAGATCGATGCTTCCCCCTAGAGATCTATATGTAGATCTCTATCTTTGTTGCTGGTACTCTTGACTGTAAAATCCTGCCTGAACCATGTTGGGGAGAGAGAAAATAATGCCTAAAAATCCAGCACTGACTTTATTTTTATTACATTTCGAAACCCAACATGAACACTGATGTGAGAGATTACTTGGAACAACAGAGCTTGTGAAGACTTGTTCAGAGCATGTGTTTTACTCTGGTGTTATCTCTTTGTAGTTATGAATACCGCTTTTTTTGTTGCAGGGAAACCTGAATGAGCTGGGCAAGCTTTTAATGCAGGGATCCTTCAATGTCTGGACTGATCACAAAAAGGGTCACTCAAAGGTGAAAGATTTAGCACGCTTCAAGCCAATGCAGCGACACCTCTTCCTCCACGAGAAAGCAGTGTTGTTCTGTAAAAAGCGAGAAGAAAACGGAGAGGGATATGAGAAAGCACCTTCTTACAGCTACAAACACTCCTTAAATGTAAGGCACCAAGCAGTCCAGTAAGGTTGAGGTACTGAGGGTTTATCCTGCAGTAATACAACATTTGGTTTTTTGTCAGTGAAGATGTGTTACAGTTTTGCACTGGGAACATCACCCTTTCAGGCCAACCTCACTGGTGCTGCAGGTCTGTGTTACCTTGTGTTGCTGTCTGACAGTCAGGTTAGGGGGAAATTGTCCTTTAAGAAAATCCAAAACATACTAGTCTATCTGAATGGCAGTTGCGTTAATCACACAGCAAAGGTAATAATGAGTAGAGCAGGGTAATATGAAACAGATGTAAGTTTTGGTGGTCTGGATTTTAAGAGATATTTTGTGCGTCAATCTCAATCTAATGTACCTAAACCCTTCTTCCCTCCAAGGTAGCTAAGCAGACATAAAATGCTAAATGTCTTACATCCAGCATGCAGATCATGCGTTATTAGTTATTATTTTCCTCGAGCAAGAAGCCAAATGTGATCATCCTTTTCAGAAACAGGATACCAAAGAATACCAGTAGCTGCCTGCTTCTGTTGTTACCGTAGCTGCAGTTTGGTAGGTCAGCTTCTGTTCTCTTTCCTTCCAGATGGCAGCAGTTGGAATAACAGAAAATGTCAAAGGGGATGCAAAAAAATTTGAAATCTGGTATAATGCAAGGGAAGAAGTTTACATCATACAGGTAAATAAAATGCCACTACATTAAAGAGAAAAAAAAAAAAAAGAGAGAGAAAAGGGAGGGGTGGGGAAAGTCTATCCCTAAGAAGATCTGGAGGTTTTTTCCTCTATTATATCACTAATGGACAGTGATGGGGAAATGTAGAAAAAAGGGAAAAAAAAACCAAACCACCACCACCAGATTAATTCATTAGGTAGTTTCTTAATATATTTCAGTTTTCTAGGGGAAAAAATAATCACATTTTGCAACATGGAGGATGTTGCATACACCATTACTATTGCTCTCACTGGAGCAGTGGATGGCTTGGGAGCCAGGGTTTGACTGTAGCATGTGCAAGGCTTCTGCCTCAGCGTGTTTTTAGTTGTCACAACTAGTTTCTGTTCACTGAAGGGCTAGAGAAGAAGCTCTGTCACTCTTGAAGGATTCTTCTGAGGCTGTGCTTTGGCATGCAACTCTGTGTAGTAAGTGTTCTATGCTTGATGGCTGATTGTATTTATTTTCGCATAGGCACCAACCCCTGAAGTTAAAGCTACTTGGGTAAATGAAATAAGAAAAGTGCTGACGAGTCAACTGCAGGCATGCAGAGGTAAAATGTTTTGGATATATATATATCTTTTTTTTAAACTATGAACTTTAAAACCTGCCCTGTTTATCTTCACTGGGTAGGACTGTAGAAATTAAAAGCTCAAAACGCACATCAATTTTAATAGTTCTTTTTCTTTCCTCCATTACAGAAGCTAGTCAGCACAGGACACTGGAACACACACAGAGTTTACCTCTGCCAGGATCTTCTTGTACAAGGTAAGTGTCTTGTCAAACCAGCTTGGTTGTCTTGTAAATATACTAATCTAGTTTGCAGTTTTTCATTCATTCATGGAGAATGGATTGAGAGCAGCCCTGAGGAGAACGACTTGGGGGTGCTGGTAGATTAAAAGCTCAACATGACCCAAAAAAGTGCACTTGCAGCCCAGAAAGCCAGCTCTATCCTGGGCTACATCAAAAGAAGCATGACCAGCAGGTCAAGGGAGGTGATTCTTCCCCTCTGCTCTCATTAGATCCCACCTGGAGTACTGCATCCAGCTCTGGAGTCCTCAGCACAGGAAAGACATGGACCTGTTGGAGCTAATCTAGAGGAGGGCCACAAAGATGGTCAGAGGGCTGGAGCACCTCCTGTAGGAAGACAGGCTGAGAGAGTTGGGGTTGTTCAGTGTGGAGAAGAGAAGGCACCAGGGAGACCTTATAGCAGCCTTCCAGTACTTAAAGGGGGCCTACAGGAGAGATGGGGAGGCACTCTGCATCAGGAGTGTAGTGAAAGGATGAGGAGTAACAGTTTTAAGCCAAAAGGGGGTAGATTTAGATTAGATAATAGGAAGAAATTTTTCACTGTGAGGGTTGTGAGACACTGGAACAGGTTGCCCAGAGAAGCTGTGGATGCCCCATCCCTGGAGGTGTTCAAGGCCAGGCTGGATGAGGCTTTGAGCAACCTGGTCTAGTGGGAGGTGTCCCTGCCTATGGCAGCGGGGTTGGAACTCAACAATCTTTAAGGTCCCTTCCAACCCAAACCATTCTATGATTCTATGATTACTTCTATCCCTTAATACTGGCCCTTACGTTTTAGTGTTTATTTAGGTGTCTTCCTATTATAAAGCTGTAAAGCTTGGGGTTTATAAATCACCAGAACTGTTAAACTGAGCAGCAGTGGCATGGGCTTTGCCAGTTGATGGGGCACAACATAAGTCTTTTTCTATGGCAGCCAAAATACTGGTGGTATTGTGGGTCTGTTTGTTGAACAGATAATTATATACCTTACACCCCAGATAAGAGAATTATGTGGAGCAGCCTTCTCCTTCCCTCTCTGTTCTTTTACTTCACCTGGATTATTTTTTTTCTTCGTTTTCCAATGTCTTGTTATCTTCCTTTTTGTCTTTTTCAGGGCATTATCTTTTCTCCGTCCCTTGTTTTTTTCCTTCAATTTCCTTGTTTGTTGTTTTGGTTTGGTTTTTTTCACTGTGATGTTTTGATACCTCCAGTGCCCCAAATTCTGAGTCAAGCTTTTCTTCTTTTTCTTTTTCTATCCCTGACTCTAACAGCCTGTGTATTTTTGCTCCCACCTGCTGTTCTCCCCTTCTCTGACACCTCTTTCTAATCCTCTGCTACTCACTCTTTTCTCATTATATGTGTATGTGTATATACCCATAAGCCCATGTGCTCATTTCTTCAGTCGTTCCCACAGGGTGTGTGCTTGAATATGTATCAGTAGCTTTCTGCCCTGCATGTTTTATGCATCTACTTATCAGTCAGGGAGAATTTCCCAGATATACAGTATTTGTAGATTCTTTCTCCATTCCATTCCCAGAGCTGTGATGGAAATCCAACTGCAAGATCCAACCTGTGTTCATCCCTCATCTGTTCCTGTGTTAAGAGCTTCTGAGGGGCAGAGTTTATTCCTTTTCTTTTCCCCCCCTTTTTTTTTTCCTTAGTACATACAAGAGGAAACTGTCAACACCGAATGTGTGCCTGTAGCTGAGAGCGAGTGGAAGTTGTCCTGAGCTGTCTTTTCAGTAGCTCGTACTGCCATACTATGTGTGGTTGCAGTCAGTAAGGGGAGTCCTTCTCCTTTGTATGTGCTCATGGTCTTTCTATGCACAGTCACCATGACTTCTTCAATCCTGGAAGACATGATCTGGGAAGTACCTAAGAAATCGTTTTTAGCCTATATATCTGTACACAAAAGTCAGCCCATGACCAAAGGTCATCACCCCTCTTCAGACCCAATATTGCTGGAGATGGCTTGATTGTCTTAATTTTCTTCCAATAAACAGTCCTTCACAGAACCACATCAGAAACACCAAAAAAATGGAGGAGAGAAAAGTTGATCTCACAAGTCTAGAAGGTTATGGCACCACAGTAGCACCAAAGTACCCCGAGAAAGGCAAAGGTGAGTTTACACATATGTATTGTTATCTTTAATTGCAAAGAGCGTGCCTGCACTGCAGATGCACAGGCAGATCCACCAGCAGAGTAGCCGTGGCAGTGCAGGGAAATGCAGCATTACACCTGATCGAGCAGGGCTTCGCTGCTTTCAGCCCTGAGGCAGCCCACCCACAAAGCGCTGCCCACACTGCATCAACGTGCTGGTCCCATCTGCCCTTAGCTTGGGGTTTCTGCATTCTGCCATGTGGTGTGGACAGGCCCAAAGCCACCTCGAATGAAGGGTCAGCAAAAGGGGTGGGAGCTATGACTTACGAGTCCCAAGTCTGCAGTAAGCCTTCTCTTAGAGCTGCCCAGCTTCTCAGGGTTCTCTTCCTCTGGATAAATTTCTCGGCATTACCTCTTCTGAAGAGGTTTGGGGTTTGGTTTTTGTTTTTTTGGTTTTTGGGTTTTTTTTTTACTCCTGAATTTTGGTTTCCCTCATGGAGATTATTTACTGAACCAGTGTCAGTACAAACTCCTGCACAGGGAGAACAACTGGCCACTTGGGTTCTTCTGTTGTACCTGGACTTTTAGTTGTCCTTTCTCATCCTAACATGTAGGTTCCCTGGCAGGGCTGCAAATAATTTTTTGCCTTGATCTTTTCATGGCCTCCTCCCCTTTTTTTCTGTGTCTCTCTCTTCCTTTGTAGATGATACTAGCTCTACCTCAGAATGCTCTGTACTGTCAAAAAAGCGCTTTATGCTGCAGGGCTTTACTAACCTCAACAGTCAGAAAGGTAATTTAAAAAAAAAAAAAAAAAAGCTAGACTGTTTTCTGTTTAAGGCTGTAATTGAAGCATCGCTTTGGATGTTTGTGTAGCGTAACAGGTTTTCAGTGTACGCACTAGCTTGTTCTCTTAAATTCAAGCCAGATTCCTGAGTCACTGACCCTGACAGGGAGATTTCAAGAGAAATTGAGTCCAGACTGGGAGGGGGAAATGCAGCTGGGAAAAGTGGAGGTGTTGGAGATGCAAGGGAAGGAGTGCAGTTTCCAATGCCTCCAGTCTCACTATCGAGGCCAAGGAAGGAGTTTATAGTGCCCCATTCCTGCAGGAATGTAGAGGAGGGAAGGAAGCTGTCTTCAGATCAGAGACCTAGCCTGCTTCTGGCTTAAGTGGATCTGCCCCAAATGCTTGGTACTTGGCAAAAAGGAATCAAGGTTTAGCTAGAGTATTTCTATATTAGCATCCCTGCTAAGAAAACTCTACAGCAGAATGTGTATGACTATGTTGTTTTGCTGGATACAAAAAAAATAACAATTTCCCTATGCTTCGAGGAATGGTCTTTATTTTTGCTAAAACAAAAGGCAATAGGAGTCTGAGACCTTTCTTGCTTCCTCCTGCCAAGTAATCACACTGGTACATTCACTTCTTGCTTTGAACAGCTGTTTTTGAACAGTCTGAATTGCATTAAGATGATGGCACTTGTTCAAGAGCATGATTTTCTTTTTTTTTTTTCCCAAGCATCTTTTCAGAATGACTTTTTAAGACCTGATTACCTTTGAGTTCTTTCTGGAGAGACTCTAGGGTTGTGTATCCAATGCTAATGAGGTGAGCACTAATATCCCATGCTTGCCTTGACAGAAACTCCATCTCCTTCTGCTAAAAGCCAGACATTGCCAATGATCCTTCTTACAGGACCAGGTATTGCTGTAGCACTAGATTTATGTACAAATTATTACTTAATTTGGTAATGTCTGTCTAAAATTAAAATTAATTGTATTCAGTTGAAGTCTAGTTCATTTAGAAAAGTCTACATATACTTTCATTTATTACTGTAAAATAAACTTGACAATTTATCTTCAGATAACTACGTGTAAATAATTAATTCCTTCTGCTGTAATTGACCAATGGCAGCTAAAATTAGAGTGGTTACAGAAATCCATTTGTTTCCCAGTGTAAACTCAAAGGTATTTAGCATGAAATCCACCTATTCTCTTTTTTCCAGTTCTTCAATATCTCTCTTCTGTTTTTTGCCTATTCATCCTCCTGCAGCTTCTCCTACCAGTCCTGACAAAAAAGCTAAACGACATGAAGTAGTGAGTGACCCAACTCCTTTTGGTGTAAGAGGTAGAGTGATACCACATCTTGTACTCCACAAATACCCACATATCCCTCACATAATATGTTACATCAGAGCACTGGGTTACCTGTATGATGCTGTTGAGTGCAGCGTTATTGAAATCAACCTTTTCCAAGTGGGTCTGTCAGCTTCTGTATATACTGGTTTTGATAGCACGACTGGCTGAAGTTTTGCCTTGGCATTGAATAGAGTAGTGTATGGCTAACTAGTTTTTGGAAGAGGGCAGTGGGAAAGGGATGTTCTGCTGAAGAAATAACCAGAAGCTGGATGTTTACTGGAACTATAGTGGCACCAGTTGCTATGAGACACTTTCTTTTCTAGTGAGCATCATCCTGTCACTGTGCCCCTTATGGAGAGGATTTAACTTTAAAAAAAAGGGGGGGGGGGAGGAAATCCAAAACATGTATAGTCTAGTCAGAGTGGGGTTCATCACTGTCATGTGGAATTTCCATTTTAGATCTGAATTTATTACTGTAGTCACAGATCTGTTGCATCTTCTTTGGGTGATAGTAGGCAATTTTTGCTACCCTGTGAACCCCACATAATTTAAGTGAACCCCTTGGAGCTGTTTGCCTTCTGGCCTCCCAACACACAGCTAAGCAAAGACTGAAAAATAATTTTGGTTAAATGCCCATTTCTAACCAGCAAGGCTATTGGTGAAGGCTTGAGTACAAATCCCTGGGGCTAATTCATTAGAGAGTACAAGGAAAGCAGTCCCACTCTTCCTGATGCTTCTTCCACCACCATCTCTTTTAGAAAATATTATTCTGAAGATGAAGCTGTTTCAAGCCCCACCATCATCCTTCTCTCCAGGTTTCCACAGCCTTCGTCTTTGTCTCCCCTGTGGAAACGATGCAGGTTCAGCTGCTGTGCTGGTGAAACTATGCAAAACCACTCGCCTTGTCTGAGCAGCAGGCAAGGAAATCCCAGGCCAGACACATGCAGAAACTCCACAAGTGTGGATATGGGAGTTACAAGGTTAATTTTTCTGCAGGTAGCAGTCAGACCTCTGAGATCTCCAGGTACTGTGGAAATCCTGAGGGCTTGAAAATGCTATCAGAAAGCAAAGGGTGTTTTGTGGCCTTTTCCATAGATGCTGAAATTTTCCAGGGTGGAGACCCTTGCTAATTTACGGTAAAACTGTTGGGTCCTCAGAACAGATTTGTCTGATTTGCTGTCCTGTCCAACGAGACTGCTGAGAGGCTTCACTTCATGAAACCACTAACCAAGTAACTGAGTTTAAAACATCTAGTAACTCTGCTTTCTGTCTTGCACCTCCTGATCTCTTTTCTGACACTTTATCTTCTCTCCTTCCGCAGCTCAAAGAGGGGTAAGCAGGCAGTTCCAACCTTAATGATTCTGTGAAACTACACCAGGGGATGGTCACAGCTCCCTGGTGCAGAGTACATTGTCCCCACTCATTTCCTTTCATTGCTACATCTCTCTGACTTACATCACAGTGAGCTCAAGGAAAATTAATTGGTGGCAGAATCCCATCTCGCAGATAAATCCTGTCTTTGTGAAGAAACCTGTGGGGCCCATTTCTGAAGAGAAGTGGTTAATGAAGTCTTGGTTTTCCAGGCACCAGCTAATCTAAACTAATTTCTGCATAACCTTATCTTTTCTCAAGACTACTATTTTCTTATCTTTCCTGCCTTTATAGGGAGCTCTGATTTAGTCACACCGTGCAGAATACACGCACGTTGAACGTGCATGCATAATTTTGGTGCCTGTAGTCAGCTAACATGAATGTGACCATAGTGGCCACTTCACTTCCCTGCCCAGGATCAGACAGGTTTTTTATGGACTTGTTAACAGTAGAGTGCCAGCTTATATGAGTAGGAGTACTGTTGCTATGGCAGGATCAAGCAGGTCTGCTCTTACGCACATCTGCACAATATATGAAAAGAAAGAGGATGAGAAACAAGAGCTGTTACCCAAAAGGTTCCAAATGACAAGGCCAGCGAGTATAATGCTACAGGAAGAGCAATTACAGTGATTTCACTTTTGCGCAACTTGTTGGTTCTGTTTCTAATGAGAGCTTGGAACAATTAGGAGAAACCATGTTTTCTTTTGTTGCATTGTTCTTAGCTTGAACTAATGGAAAGGGTTTCAGCTGCGTCCCATGAGTCAACTGTAAGTTGTGAGCTTCCAAGGAAA